CTTGGGATCAACACCTCCTTTCGGCAACGCTTCTCTAGTATCCCGTCTCATCTGGATGAATACATTTTGAGATTGCGGTGCTTGATTATCAAGCGGGTGGAAGGGATACCGAGGGTACATTTCATGTTGACGTTGTACGGGATGAGGATCTGGAATGAATTGTTCTGGATAGGTCGGTCGTTGTTGCTGCTGCAACCCATACATGTTATGTAGCTGATGGGGTGGTAATGAAAACGAAGCATTAGCAGGGATATTCAGCTGTCCCATTTGAGCGTCAAATATGGTTTTGCCAATTATATGCTGCGCAATATGACGGGTCCTATCGTCCAAGTTCTTCAATGACTGACTCACATACTGAGCAAAGACATCACCCTCCTCTGTAGTTTTTTGTTTTTTACTATGGATAGAAGCAGCCAACTGTTTAATGAGGTGTAGTTCTTCAGTGTCTATTTCCTTTCTAGCAGATCTAGGCCTTTTCTTCGTAGGTAATTTTGTTGAGCGTGGCGTTACTTGTGATGCATCCAGATTCAAATCGTCGTCATCACATGTCTGATTTTCGTCACCATCTTCTGTGTAGTCTTCTTCGCGACTTGACGTTTCACTCGCCTGACTTGGAGATGGAGATGTCTGAAAGAAAAATATAATGTTGTTATTGTATGTTAATCTATCTTTTACATGGGTTATTTTTCATTTTTTTCAGAGTCCCACTTCGCCAGAGCAGTGGCAAGCCATATCAGACGCCTTTGAGAAAAAAATGGAATTATCCTTGCTGCATTGGCGCATTGGACGGCAAACACGTGGCTATCGCACAACCCGACGGCACTGGCACAGAATTCTTCAATTACAAACACTTTTTCAGTGTCCTGCTGTTAGGTCTAGTAGATGCTAACTATCGTTTCATCTATATAGACGTTGGGGCAACAGGACGTGCTGGTGATGCTGGTGTCTTTGCTCAGTCGACTCTAAAGGAGGCATTGATAAGAGACAAGCTACATTTGCCACTTCTGCCTCCAAAAATGGTATCCCTGGCAAACTCTCCTACCACATAGTAGGTGATGATGCATTTTTACTTTCCGAAAGAATCATGAAACCGCATCCTCAACGTAACTTGGATAAACCAAAGAGAATATTTAATTATCGTCTGTCCCGCGCTCGACGCATTGTTGAGAATGCCTTCGGCATCCTTGCCAATCGATTCTACGCTTTTCTGACGACAATTTGTCTCGATCCCGATAAAGCCGTCTAGCGTTCGTCTAGTTCTATGACAGCGTGCGTGCATGTGTACCATAGGCTGTGTACCTGGCGGCCGCCACTGTCATTGAAGACTCATTCGTTCCACACGTGTACGTAACAGATCTGCTGTATGCCCCCCAAGGTCATCCGTATAGCGTATGTATATACACGTGCTCACTGCCTGCGCGCTAGCGTTAGGGTTAGGGATAGGGATAGGGTTAGGGTTAGGGTTAGGGTTATGGTTAGGGTTCCTGGGTTAGGGATAGGGTTAGGGTTACGGTTAGCCTTTGCATTACTCTCAGGGCACACACACATTCCTATCTACGTTTCCTACAACGACAGACAGTCAGAGCCTCAAGGACATCGCTCCGCGGGCGCCTTTGATGTACACGATCGATCGATGTATACCAAGAGCAGATAATACACATGTGTATTATCTGCTCTTGATGTATACGGCATGCTAGCAGGCCGCTGCGCGTTCAGAGACGCTCCCACACGCCTACACATTACCATTACACAGCCCGGCTCCCATTCGCCACTTCGACTCATTCATACTTCTCTGACATACACGTACGGTTACCCAAACTCCACGGACGAGCGAGGGAGTGGTTGACCTTTCCCCTTAGCACGCATACAAGGGTATGCCACACATGGGAAAAACTTCCGTCTTTATTTATCTGCATATATACATCCGCACTTGGATATTTGCGGTCGCAGGATTTATATATTCTAGCTGGCGCCATCGTGCCCGTTGCGTGCTTATTTTTAACTATTTCATTGTTTTAACCTTATTTTATTACAACTTAAAAATAGCTACACGCAATAAATTGCTTCTAGAATATTAGTATAGATATCTAGGAATCATTTGAGCTATTTAATTCTTAAATAAATTGGATGAGTATTCTTGAAATTATAGTCAAAACACTAAGAGTGTTATAACCTATGGTTATAACCATAGCGCAATACCCGTTAACACGCCAGAGGGCGCTGAATGCCACATGATGACGCTGTTCATTTGGCACTATATAAGGCGCGTTCACACGGACGTTTTTGGCCCGAGCCTAATCAGGCCCGTGCCAGATTTGGCTCGAGCCGAGCGTTCACACGGACGTTTTTGGCCCGAGCCTAATTAGGCCCGTGCCAGATTTGGTCCCATCGAAAACGGCGGACCAGGCCCGAGCCAAATTTTAGCACCAGCTTTCGGCGAGAGGTAGAGCGGTAGAATCGGTTGAGCGGTAGATGCTGCGAGTGTCAAACGTGTACTTCGACGAAATAAAGTCCAAAACAGTATAAAAATTCGACAAATTTGATCAGGATGCACGTTTTCAAAATTGATAATTGAACTAGGAACGTAAGTAAACACTCTAAATCGCACACAACGCCATCTCGCGACATACTGCCAAAGTATCTGTGAGATATTTGTGCAATAAAATTTATTTGAATTTGAATTTGAATTTGACAGACAGTATTTACCTCCCCCCTACTTGCGTACGTGTGAACGCTCCGACTCAATTAGGCCCGAGCCAAATTTGGCCCGAGCCAAATCTAGCCCATTTGGCTCGAGCCAAATCATGACCGTGTGAACACGGCTTATATCATAATTTTTTCAGGACCTCATGTAATACGCGTTTGTAAAGTTTCACAATTCTAACTAAAAGTTCACAATTTATGTGCTTATCCGCTGGACTATAATCCTTGTTACCATTTAATATTATACCTAATGTGATTAACTAACCTAATATACCTAATGTGATGTTAAAGAGTAAAAAGTAAAACAGTTGCCAATATAACGACCAGGATGCTACCCAATAGGCCATCTTGCAAATCAAAATTTTCCTCTGTGAGAAGCGTCGTGGACGTCATAGAGATCTGTTAAAAATAAAGGAAAAAGAGAGAAAAAAAATTCCCTCCTACTGAGATTGGAATTACCCCTTCACAACGATATCCATCAGGCTATTGCGCGCAGCCAAATATTTTACTTGCAAGGTGGCCAAGCAGATAGTGTCATGAACGTCATATTGTCAGAGGCAGAGAGGAGACAGGTTTGAATCCGGCTAGTGGGACATTTTTTTAAATATATATATAATATCGTAATTACTAATGTAACTAATTATCATAATGTTATTCTGTTACTTAGATAGCTCGAAATGACATTAGGGACATTAGGAATTAAAATATCAAATGAAAAAAATAAAACGTAAAATAATATATCAGCTATAGAGTTTTGAACCTGTCATTTAATATTGTTAAAAATGTTCGTAATTATCCTAGTGAGTAGCTTCGTGGACGTGATAGAGGTTTGTTAACGGCAGAGGGAGGACAGGTTCGAATCGCAATAGCCGCGAGAAATAGACTAACGGTATAACCTGGTATAACTGTAAAGGTCATTTCTACTTTTACCGCTACCAGCCGGAAGTTATCCGGCACGCGCGCCACGCAGTGGGAGAATTTAGAACTACGTGTAGAAATGACACACGTGTTATTTCGTTCGTAGCGAATATACACAACGTCAACAACTATGGGGAAACTTCGAAAGGGACACAACTGGAAGGCTAGACAGATAACAGAGACTACTATTGACAATTCCGAGTCTAAAAAAGTACGTGGTCGATAATTTGTTTACTGTTTGGGAAGTGATGCCAGTGGCAGTGCCGTGGTCACTGGTGGCGATCTGATCAACACTGTCACTGAGTCCGATCGTTTCAGCAAATCAATTTAACCATCTCACTCTCAGTGTCCGTGTCTGTACTGTACTGTGTACATGCAAATTAGGGTTCAAGGATAGAGATGATGTCCAGTGCGGTGATTGGATAGGATGATGTTAGTTGATAAGATAGGACTGGACATATCTTCTCTATCCCTGAGCCCGAATTAGTGTACTCCCTGACTGTGTGTTGACGCTGGAAGTGTTATGCAGTCAGTACATTAATTAAAGTACTATTCGTATTGCTATCTGAATCATGCAGGCGGGTGATGAGAACGTTTCTGTAAACAAAACTATGCAAATCAAGATCGGCATTGCACTTTGCAGCCAGCGCTCTCGCTTTTCCGGTAGACGTGGATGTTAACGAAACTGCTGATTATTAGTAATGTGTTGAGATTTCTTGCATCATCGAATACTTTTACTAGTTGTAGCATACCATTAAGTGTTTATAGAGGCAAATACTAATTATGAGGTCAGAATTGCATTAGGTTCATGGTGCAAAAAACCAAATTATCGCCAATGATTGCAAAATCCAATTTATCGATGCACCTTTTACAGATCAATGTTAAAGTGGACGACGTCACTGACAGAGCGGAAAACTACGATGCCAGCAATCCACTGGTTCTGCCTTCGAAGAAACGGAAAACGGCAGCGGTCGCTAGCGCGGCGCCTTTGCCCCTGATCCTGAGTAAGAAGCAACGAAAAAAGCTGGAACGAGTGCTGCAACAGAAGGAGAAAAAATCAAAGGTAACTAATTAACACGTGTGTGTGTGAAGGAGTTAATCTAAATATTACGACCAATTTCAACGCGTCTCCTAGTTTCTATGATCCATCAGATGGGCACAGTAATGCTTGACCTGTAGTTTGCAGTGCTGCCACTTTATACTTTTTTTAAAGTATACTTTTTTTAAAGAAAATATACTTTTTATATATTTTTCATACTTTTTTCATGCATAAATACTTTTAAATACTTTTTTTTACCAAAGATGGTCAAAACTCTTCGGACTTAGATTTAGGCACACTGTATTTGATTAGATTAAAGATTGCTATAATTGCTATAGTCTTGTTGCAGGATAGCTCCAAGAAATGGTATTGCTAGGGTTAGAATATATTTAGACGTCAACGTCAGTAGATATATTTACCAATACTAACGTCAATACACGTATTGACGTTAGTCACACAGCCTGGTCGGGTTAGTTGCAGGAGTGATGTGTGCTCTGTTCAGTGGAGTGTTTTTGCTCTCGGCTCTCTGCTGTCAGTGACCAAATGACAGACCATTGCAGTGTTTCCCCTGCATTGACACGAGCGAGGCGGGCCACCTCACTCAAATTCTCAGCCGCCATGCACACAGAAATTTGTCCAAAACACCGCCTCGCTGACGAAACTTTTGATAACTTGAAAAAGGGATTCAAGAGTCTCACACAATGTGTCCAGAATAGCTTAGAATGCACCAAATTGCACCATTTTTTCAAAACATTTTCCGGGGGAGCATGCACATGGACCCCCCCTAGCTGGCCAGGCACATGCACTGCTCACTGTGCTAGGACCTCGCAACACACAAACACATCACACAAATTTACTGCCTTCCAGACCTTTCTGGCCAAGGGAAAAACTGCATTGAAATATTCCAAAAGTGAGAGTTCAAGAGACAACTCCTCATGACATTGCACACATCATTCCTGAAGCTCGTTTACATGCTGCACATAGGCTATAATGTATTCGGTAATAAGGTATAAGGTAACAAATCATGGTAGGTTGATACAAATTTATACTTTTATTTATACTTTTTTTAGGCAATTTTGATACTTTTTTTGTAATATCCTAAGTGGCAGCACTGAATTTGATCGAATCCTCACCAATAGGAACGTGTACCCCCTCCTCTACAGCAGGCAGTGATCTTAGAATATCTTATTCCCCTTCATCAAAAATTGATCAATAACCCATATAACCAGTAGATAGCGAAACACGCCCAAAATTGTGCCAACGATGGGTTTCCCACTCGGCTAACATTTATAATTTATTTGAACGTAGAGAGAAGAGTTACTCAAGTCCCTTGCTGAGGTTCAGGCATCAAAGGAGGAGATGGAATTGCTGATATCAACCACCGGCATGCAGACGAAAGGCGTGAAAAGGTACGTTGGTCACATATATATACTCACCATTTACACAATGGATCAATACCATGCAGAACTAGACAGAGTGCACTCACGGAGAGTGCATACCTCCGCCAGCGACATACGCCATACGCCATAGGACTCACGAACACACGAATAACCCAGGATATAGGCCAGCGTACTGACATGTAGATGCTAGCTTGCTGGCTTGCAGCCGCTCGCTCGTAGCAGCTTCTCGTTGCTGCTGCTCGCTCACATGTACACGCTCGCTGGCTCGCTGCGCTTGCTGGCTGGCTCGCTGACTCGACGCGCTAATATCGATCGCGCGAACACACGAACACACTAACGCACGAGAGCGATCACATAACCTCCTCCAACTCCGTTGGGCGGAGGTAAAAAAGCATGAGTAATGAGGTTTAGAGAGTTATTTTTAGTTTTGTTAAGATTTGTTAAGAGTTGGGCACACCACTACATGGTTGCAGAGCCATTTTAGTGGGCATGTGTGTGCCAGGCTGCATGTACCACTGGATGTGAGAAATCATGGGAAAGCCTGTACAATGTAATTGCGTACGGTGTACCAGCCCTGAAGCCAAAGAAAGAAACATTGGTATAGGTTAACATGCATGTACATGCCGTATTCTGTCATTCCATCACAGCCGTATTCTGTCATTCCATCACATGCCGTATTCCGTCATTCCATCTTATGCCGTATTCCGTCGTTCAGATCGTCGAGGAGACGGAGACGCGGATGAAGGCGAACGCTATCGCCGGCAGCAACAAGCGACAAAAGACGAGCCCACCGCCGCCCGACGAACAAGAGAGCAGCTCGTCCGTGAGCTCATCGGACGAGGACGAGGAAGATGATTGGAGGGAAGGCTTGCAGTGTAGGCAACGGACGGACGAAAACACTCGGCGGACGCCTGCGGAGAAGCGGAGGAACGGAGAAGTTTGGGAAGAGTGGAAGGAGATTGCCACGCTCAGCAGCAAAGAACGCTGTCGTCGCGGGAAGCCAAGCTGAGATGAAGAACTTGGAGGAGGAGGAGAAATCGGAAGCGAGGAAAGCCGAGGACAGGAAACCCGCAGTTGGTTCTGCCCGTTGACCGCGATTGAAACTCCCGAAGTTTTCAGGTTTATTTCGTGCGTCGTTATCTTCCGTTACAAACATCACCAAGTTCGTTTTTTAGCTCATTCTGGACATCAGTTCAGATTGCAGACTTGTAGAATCGGGCTGATTCGTCACGTCCGTCCGGGTCGGTGTGTGGTCCGAGGTTCGAGCGTCGTGCAGTTCGTTGCGTCCCAAAACAGTTGGGCACAAATCTTAAAATATACCGAGCTCGACGTTATACGGTCACGATATTCGTAGGACGTGGGGTAAATCATAGACTTTATAATTATTGTGTGTAAAACGCTTAATTCGAAAACGAGTTGGGGATGTCTCGAGCTGGGGTAAGTCAAAGGCTCAAGGGTCAATGAGGGTTAGTATAAAAAGAAGAGTGGGAACATTCACTTTCCTTAACTTAAATGGTAATAGGAGGAATTGCGGCAGGAAATTGCGGCACAACTCTGAAAAACGGCTTCGACCTAGGCTCGTGATAGTCGGTGTTATAGCAATCATTTGAGGTAGGAAAAGCATCAGCTTGTGCCGAAAATTGAGGTCCACAGGGTCAAAGCAGTCAATGGGCACAGGGAGGAGTTTTAGAGATTTTTCTGAGGACATGGTTCTGACGGGAGCGATTGGAAAAACTTTTTGTCTCATGCGGTGGACCTTAGCAGTTCTTATGGCTTGTTATTGAAAAGGGACCATCAAATGTGTCCTCTTCTATGCTTGACATTTTTGCGGCAAGTAGTACTCTCAGTGGTCGGATACTTTTGACCTCAAGAGGGGGGTTAAACTTGGATTTTGTTGACTGTCTTGTTAGGAAAGAATTTGGGACTGCCGGGTTTGCTAGGAGTAATTCTATTACATGCCTGGGATGTATGAGGCTTACGCAATGTCACAGTTGGAAAATTTCAAAAGCTAAACATTTGGTTAATAAGGAAGGTGTCATGTTCCTTAAATCGTTTATAATTTCTATGTCATTTTATGTACTGTCAGGTAGGTGTATACATGTAACGTATGGCCACTTGCAGTGGCTTTTTCGGCTGCCAAGTGCATGTGTTTGGCGGGCAGTTTTTTGCCGTTGCGTTAATTGGTTGCAGGTGGCAGCTTATCTCTTGTGCAAATTTGGCAGCCTGGTAGGCTCTGCGTTCTAGGTAAATTGGATGAATTGCTTAACCTATGTCTGCTCTTGCAAAATAGTTGTTGCTAGCTACGAATGATGGGACTCATCTTTAATCTGAAAAAGGAACACTTAAACGTACGCGCCATCTCGTGGCAAACTTTCATAAACGATCCCAACGAACACATTCTTTTTGAAGAAAGTTTCCGGGGATACCAGTCCCTGCGATTCCACTGCGTTCGCTGTATCGTGAACAACATTTGGGCACTAACAGGGTTTTACTAGGCAAATTTCCCTCCACTCCACCACAGAGTCACCGCAGGTAGACGTTAAGATTTGAGCGCTTGTCGCTATGCGGCAGCCTTGTTTTGTTGCATCGCCGCGGCAGCGGTCGGTTCCCACCTCTACTGGCGCCACCTGGCAGTGACATTTGTGTAACCGATTAGGTCGATGTTGCTAGCTCTCTTATTTCACTGGCGCCACCTGGCATTGACATTTGCATAACATGTTAGCTGTCTAAACCGCGTTGTTTAACCGTGGTGATGTTCGGGCGCGGTAACCACGGCGACGTTGGCGCACAGTTACCGCGGCAACGCTCGCGCGCTGTAACCGTGGTAACGCTCTTGTCTGCTCGCAGGCATCCCGTCTGGCGCTGCCGATTCTAGCGGAGGAGCAGCAGATCATGGAGGCGGTGCACGACAACCCCGTCATTATCGTCTGCGGCGAGACGGGTAGCGGGAAGACGACGCAGGTGCCACAGTTCCTGTACGAGGGAGGATACGCGAGGTGAGCGTGTGTGTGTGTGTGTCGCGCGCCCGCGCGCAAGTTGTTACACGGTGGTAGAGGCAGCGGTGCGTGGCATTTACTACTACATTATATATTTAGTTATTATATATTTACTGTTACCTTATATTTTATTTACTGTTTCCCCCTTTTATTATCGCGTCATGAGATTAAGTCTGTCGTGGTCGTGTGTATTTCTGATGATTGTAATTCATGATGAAATTGCGATTGTAATTGCATTGCAAAAATGCTGTTTGCAGTACGTAGCAATAGCAAGTTTCCTTCCCAGGGAAAGAGTCGCGCAATTCTCATTGTACTCTATTGTGCTAACGTCTATCTCTCCTTGACTTAGTTGCAGTGGCAAGGGCGTCATCGGTGTGACACTGGGGTGCGAATGCTTCCTTCCCCGGGGGAAAATCAAGCACGATTCGTGTTGTGATCTATTGTGCTAACGTCTATTGCCCTAACATCTGTCTCGTTGACTTGGTTGCAGTGGTAAGGGCATCATCGGCGTGACGGAGCCGCGCCGCGTTGCCGCCACCAGCATGTCTCAGCGTGTCGGCAAGGAGATGAGCATGAGCAGTCGGTGAGAGAGTGTCGCCGCCGCCGCCGCCGCGTTTCTTACCCGCGACGTGTCGCAAGCTGTCGTTAGTTCTATTACCTTGGTCGAGCAGTGAAACAGTTTGATTGACCTTTGTGACCAATTGGTTAATCATGTCACTAGTTTATCTCCATGACGATATCTGACAGTGCTATCTGCATACTTCAGACCGTTCTAATCGACGCTAATTCATTAATCACATCATCTGTTTATCTCAACACGCGAAATTAAAAACGACGGTCATTAAATAATTGCATCACTCTTATTTAATTCTACGCTAATTCGTCGATTACGTTGTCGCCTCGTCTCCACGACGACGACGGCTAACGCGATTGAACTCTGACCTCTCTCTCTCTCTCTCTCCTCCGCCCTGCACAGCGAGGTGTCGTATCAGATCCGTTACCAGGGCAACGCGACGGCGGCGACACGGATCAAGTTCATGACGGACGGCGTTCTGCTGCGTGAGGCGCAGAGCGACTTCCTGCTCACGCGCTACAGCGTCGTGGTCATCGACGAGGCCCACGAGAGGAGCAGCTACACAGACATACTGATAGGCCTGCTGTCACGCATCGTACCCCTCAGACACAAGGTGTGTGTGTGTGTAGTGGTAGTAGTAGTAGTAGTAGTAGCAGCAGCAGCAGCAGCAGCTACACAGACATACTGATAGGCCTGCTGTCACGCATCGTACCCCTCAGACACAAGGTGTGTGTGTGTGTAGTAGTGGTAGTAGTAGTAGTAGTAGTAGTAGTAGCAGAAGCAGTAAGTGTGTGTGCGTGCGTGCGTGCGTGCGTGCGTGCGTGCGTGCGTGCGTGCGTGCGTGTATGTGTAGTAGGTGGTAGTAGTAGTAGCAGTAGTAGTAGCTAGTAGTAGTAGCAGTAGTAGTAGCAGCAGCAGCAGCAGCAGCTGCATGGACATACTGGTAGGTCTGCTGTCATGCATAGTGCCTCTCAGACACAAGGTGTGTATGTGTAGTAGTAGCAGTAGCAGTAGTAGTAGTAGTAGTAGTGGTAGTGGTAGTGGTAGTGGTAGTGGTAGTAGTAGTAGTAGCAGCAGCAGCAGTAGCAGTAGGAACAGCAGTAGCAGTAGCAGCAGCAGTAGGAACAGCAGTAGCAGCAGCAGTAGGAACAGCAGTAGCAGTACCAACAGCAGCAGCAGCAGCAGTAGGGAGAGAGAGAGAGAAAGCTGTACATCACTGACACATTCTTTCGCACGTTTCTTACACAGAGGGGAAACCCGCTCAAGCTCATCATCATGTCAGCTACCTTGCGCGTCGAGGACTTCACCGAAAACAAGAGGCTATTCAAGGTCACGCCACCCGTGATCAGGGTGAGTGTGGAATGCGCCCGTCGTGGTGTCGAAGTGTAGATTTCGTGTAGAGCATTTCGCAACTAGTCTCACCAGCCACGTCGCCTCGCGCGGCCTGGTGTTTTTAAGCGTAATCATTAATATATATGTATACATATCTCTGTTAAGTTCGTGAATACTTATATGATATATTTCGACGTGGTGGTCATGTTCAAAGTGTAGATTTCGTGTAGAGCTATACACCTATATATATATATATATATATAACCTTGATACAGTGTTTGAGCATAAATTTCTGTAGATCTTGTGGACGTGTGTTTTTGCCTGTGTTAACTGTAAGCGTGTGTGCATGTGGTTTCAGGTGGAATCGCGACAGTACCCGGTGACGATACATTTTAATAAGAGGACGCCCGATGATTATTTAGCCGAGGCTTTCAGAAAGGTGAGTAGATTATTGCAGAGAGCAGCGCCACCCATGCTGAGCAGCATCAGCAATGTGCTAATTAAATAGTTAATTGAGTTAATTGGTTTATTTTCAATTAATTAATTTGGTTAACTGTTGAATTTATTTGATTAATAATTGTTTAATTGAGTTAGTTAACAAATTATTGTTTGATTGAGTTAGTTAATTAATTTATTGATTTAGCTAATAAATTATTGTTGAATTTAGCTAGTTATTTAGTTTTTATTTAGTTAATTAGGTAATTAACGTTTTAATCGCCACCTGTGTCTACAGACGTGTAAGATACACCGGCAGCTACCGGACGGAGGGATCCTGGTGTTTGTGACGGGGCAGCAGGAGGTACACACGCTGGTTCGTAAGCTACGAGCGACCTTCCCCTTCTCCTCTTCCTCCGCCAGCACACAGAAGAAAGGTACGAGGGGCTCTCAAATAAGTCTCTCAGTCTGTGGTTGCGGCACTGGCTACGATTGGGGGTTTAAACCGTTTTGATGTAGTTGTTGAACAAAACGTGTATAAGTTTGGTTGATATGATTTATTGATCTGTTTATATTGTTTTATCGTGGTGATGAGTTGTATCTTGTGTGCCATTAGTCACTCAGTTAATCAATCAATCAATCAATCAATCAGTCACTCACTCAAACAATCAGTTATTTGTGTGGCATTGGAGATTTTGTGTATAACTGTAATGTGTAATGTTATTACACGTTGCAGTTGTTGTGCATTGCATTTAGCAAAATTATTCTTAAACTTAATATTAATTTGAAGAATAATTTCGATATATGACAATTTCTTGTGCACATGCTACCACATTTTACTACAACAACACGTCATCTTTTGTTTGGTATCGACACCCATATTAATAATTGTTAATTCATCGATTAATAATCAATATGGCGCGCGATTCCGTAGCGGACGTGAAAAAGGCGGACGTCGCAAAACAGAAGAGCAGCAAGCAGATGACGGCGACAACGACGCAGCCTGACATGGCGAAACGGTCGCCAGCGCCCCCTGCTGTCCTGCTGCCAGATATTAACCTGGACAGGTGAAGTCCGATCCCATCATCCCAAAACATGGCCGCCGCCCCCGCCCACCGACACCCGCTCCTCCGAGAAACAAAAATTTTAAATTTTAAAACGGCAAAAGTTAGTAAACGTTGTCATTTAGACGTGATATCGACGTGATTCAATGTATTTTTTTTTCGCTTGCAGTTACTCCATCCAATAATCGTGAAGTAACATTAATCACATTTAGGGACATCTAACATTCTGTCCCTCGTATGATCGATAGTTCAAGTTAATAAAAATCTTTCACAGTTAGTTAAAGTTGTCATTTATACGTGACGTCAACGTGACGTAATGTTTTTCGCTCGCAGTTACTCCATCTTGCCGCCGGACGAAGAGGAAGCATACGAACTTGACCGAACGGACGCAGATTCTGAGATTGGGGACCTCGATTCTGACGACGACGACGACGACGCCAATGCCGGTGCTGCCACCTGCAGGGCGGATGCTAGCATGCCGCTCTGGGTGCTGCCTCTCTACTCGCTGCTTAGCCCCAATAAACAATCACAGGTGCGTGAGACACGAAGCGAAGGCCGTGACCTGTGTAATCTACTTAGTAATAATAACTAATATAATAAAATATTAGAATGTTACTAATATAATAGCAACGTGTTAATATTAGTTTGGGACACACATTAATTAATGTCACCACCATTATAAAAAATGTACCACTTTGTATTATGTATCATGTGTGCTGCACGCACTTCTAGGTGTTCGAACCGCCGCCAGAGGGCGCCAGGCTGGTCGTCGTGTCGACGAACGTCGCGGAGACGTCGCTGACGATCCCCAACATCAAGTACGTCGTTGACACGGGCAAGGTCAAGGTCAAACTGTACGACCGCGTGACGGGCGTGTCCTCGTTCAAGGTCGCGTGGACGGCGAAGTCGGCGAGCAACCAGAGGTCGGGTCGAGCCGGGAGAACGTCGCCCGGTCACTGCTACCGGTGAGTGACCAACCCTTGTAGACAGGTGTCCCCTATAATATACAGGTGCTACCGTTGTAATATCTGTTATATCAATCATATGCATATATATATGTGTATGTATGTATATATATAATATATATATATATATATATGCATACATCTTTTTACAAATGCTATATATGATGATGTGCTGCTACCACCTGCGGGGATTTTCAACTGTTACTGTCTTGCCTCTCTCGTCTCCAGGCTCTACTCGTCCGCCATCTTTAACGACGAGTTTGAGAGATTCTCGCAGCCGGAGATCCTCCGGCGACCCGTCGACGACCTTGTGCTGCAGATGAAGGACATGAACATCGACAAGGTCATGAACTTCCCGTTCCCGACGCCTCCAGCGGAGAAAGCCCTCAAGGTGGGTGCGGGAATTGTCCGTTAGGATTTAAATAGTTACAACGAACAATTAATTACATAAAGATTAGTCCGGAAAAAAACAACGATGTGCATATAATATGTGAACGAGCATATATATCTGGCCGAGAATATTTCGTAATATAAGTTGATAGAAGTAAATGTATTCGAATTAGGTTCTAATCGTATTACAATTCGTACGAGAATGTTTCGTAATATACGTTAATTGAAATAAATATATTCGAATAATATTACGTTCCAATCGTATTATAATTCGAGTACGTGCGTAACTTGCCCTTTATGGTTTGCGCAGGTAGCGGAGCGGCACCTCGTAAATCTCGGCGCGCTCTCGCCTCCGCCGCCGACCGGTCGCCGCAAGGTCGCCCTGCCAAGGTCATCCGTGTTGTCGTCGTCGGGGAAGATAACGCCGCTGGGTCGCGCAATGGCGTGCTTCCCGGTGGCGCCCCGCTACGGCAAGATGCTCGCGCTTGCGCACCAGCACGCGCTGCTGCCCTACGTCGTCGTCGTCGTCTCCGCGCTCAGCGTGCAGGAGCTGTTCGAGGTGGGCGACCGTGGCGCCATCTGTGGCAGTTTTTGACGCGTTTCTGGCGTGGATTCTTTTTTTTTTTTTTTTTTTTCTCAGCATGCAAAAAGAGCAGTGATGTTTTTGTCATATACATGCACGCACGCACAGACGTCTGTCAGTACTCACTCTCTCACGTGTTTTAGGAAAACTACCGGCCGCCGGCGGACGATGCGGAGCAGGAAGCGATGAAGCAGATGCGCCTGAAGCTCGTTAACCTGCGCAGAGGCTGGGCCGGACAGGTGAGGGTTAATGCCTGCTGCCGGGTGGCGCCACGCAGGTAGACGCCGTTCGTCTGGCAATGCCGATCACACGAATAAATTAATAACGTGTAAATTAATAATATAATGCAATAGATCAAAACGTTTCTGTCCCTTTGCTTTTTGCATCACTATGTTTTAGTTGTTTATCATCAAGACACCTATTTAGTCGCAGTTTACACTAAAACATAACAATAATCTACCTGATAAAATAATTTATAAGTGATAATTATTAAATAATGAATTTAAACTCATTTTAAACTAATGGATAATTCGCGGAACTTAGTCATTTCCGCGACGAGCAGGGATGCGCAAACCACGCCTATCTCTCTCTCCCGTTGTCAGGGTAACTTGCTGTTGCTAGGCAACCTCGTGGTACTGCTGCAGGGTCACTCGTACGAGCGCGTTAATTCCCAACTACTAACACACGATCGTTTCCCATTTCCGCTCACCGTGCTCGTCTGCGTTGTCAGGGTAACTCGCTGTTGTTAGGCGACCTCATGGTGTTGCTGAAGGCTGTGGGAGCGTTTGAGTACGGCGGCGGGCAGCAGGAGTTCTGCGCGGCGAACGGACTGCGCTACAAGGCCATGCTGGAGGTGCGCAAGCTACGCACACAACTCATCAACGCTGGTAGGTGGCGCTGCTATGCACGCAGCTCATCAATGCCAGTAGGTGGCGCCGCTACACACGCAGCTCGTCAACGCCGTTAGGTGTCATCGCGTTTGTTATCTGTCACGTGTTTGATGGATACACGTTGTTGTTCTACTTGTTTTTTTACATTAAATTGTTGTCATTGCTGTTGTTATCATTAATATTATTATTATTGTTGTTGTTGTTGTTCTTATGTTACCTTTTTGTTTATATATTTTTATCATGTTTTTATTATGATTTGTTGATTTCTGTTCTCAGTCAACACGGTGATACCCGGAGAAGACTTGTATTTCGACCCGAAGATGGCGCCACCGTCGGATCTTCAGGCAAAACTTCTGAGGCAGGTGGCGCTAGCGAGCCTCACCGATCGCATCGCCCGCCGGTGGCCAGATAGCGGAATAAACGATCCTGAGGAACGGAAGAGACTGAGAGGAGCTTATCAGGTTATCTGGAAACTTTCACACCTACTGCTTATTACTTATAGTCTCTCTTACTGCACCTGCTTACCAGGTTATCTGGAAGCTTGCACATGTACTGTTTATTACTTAATTACTTAATTAATACTCTTAATGCTGGGTTGACTGCTAGACAAACATTTGCCAAATTAAAAACAACAACAATAAAAATGATTAAAATGATTACTGGTTGAGTAATTTATGATTAATGATTAATTTTACTATTATATTAACTATTAAAAATAATAATATGTGATTATTGAAGATTAAATAATTAAAATGCAAATGATTAAAACACATAATTTAAACGAGCGTTTGTGCATGCTATGTCGTTACATAGTGTCAGGAGCTTGCGGACCCGGTGTTCATGCATCCATCGGCTGTCCTCTGTCGCAAACTCCCGCCTTCGCAGTACATCATCTACCAGGACATCGTGGAAACGAGCAAGATGTTCGTTAGAGGCAAGGCTAATTACGACCGATAAGTCTAATTATATTATATAATAACGACTGTAATTACTATTATATCGTCGTTGGGAAGTGTGATCATTGATGCTATCGTAAATTATCATTGTGTATAGATATTAGATAGCAGGGTGCGAAATTAACGGGAGTCCGGAGTCGAATACTTTCTGATTTACTGTCGGACTCCCTGATTTGACATATGCAGGAGTCCGTGTGACTCCCTGAAAATTCTGCCACACTAACTATAGTTCGTTCCAGAACACGGCCTCGCAGAATTACCGTATTTTTTCAGCAAATGTCCAAAGAAAATTTGGCAGATGTGCAACCGCATGAATCTTCAAAATAAGCACACGTGTGTTATTGTTAATATCTTTAATTTTGACCTTCAGACTGCGGACTCCCTCATTTTGCCGCGGACTCCCTCTTTTTGAGGGTAGGGAGTCCGTTGGACTCCCGTGTTCAAAAGTTAAATTCTACCCCTGAGATAGTGGTAGAGATAGATAGAGGTGGACTAGATTCCCCTTTATATGCTTATCAACACTGTACCTTCTCTTCTTGTGAATCGTTAATGACGTGCTCTTGTTTCTACGCTCTGTCGCTGTTTCACTTCTCCCCGTCATGTACCGTCTCTGGATCATTAATGATGTACTCTTGTTTCTTCCGCTGCAGGCGTGGTAGAGATAGAGGAGAACTGAATTCCTTCCTATACGCTTGTACCTTTTCTCCTTGTGGATCGTTAATGATGTACTCTTGTTTCTTCCGCTGCAGGCGTGGTAGAGATAGAGGTAGACTGGATTCCCCTCTATGCTCCGTCGCTGTGCACCTTCTCCAAGCCGCAGGAAGAGCCAGCTCCGAGGTTCCGCGAGTCGGATGGCGTCGTCGTCTGCCACATGTCTTGCAGCTTCGGTGAGCGACAGACGCACGTACTCGCGCGATTACGCAGATGCGCATTTGATACGCGTGAAAAGATGTCAATTAATTTATTAAATTGTGCGTGTTTAAATGATGACGTCGTATTATAGGTTTGACTTACAGCTTCAGTGAGTGATGGACAGACGCGATTACTCTGATACGCAGATACGCATTGGATACGCGTGAAATTATGTCCATTTATTTATTAAATTGTGCGTGTTAAAACCGGTGACGTATTAGGTTTAGCGTATTCGGATTTCACCCGTGAGTGGTTCTGTAACTCCAGGTCCTGAAATAAGTGAGGGTTGTCAAGGTTATTCGAAGGTCATGGGGACAGTTGCGGAGAGTAAAATGAATGTTGCTACTAGTTTCTTTCTTTTTTCTGCTGTGTTTTCTTATCATTTGCTATACAATTAATTGTTCATCGTTATGTTATTTGTTACCTATTCCGACATTTTGAGACACTAGGCTGCAGGAAGGAGATCAGAGTTAGCGTCACAATCAAAGAAGTTTGGGGGAATGACTAATAACTAAAATACTACAACATAGAGGTTGAGTGTAAACGGCTCCTGCATCACAAGTACAGCCGTGTATCTATAAACAATCTATCAAAACTCGTTTAACCATTGCCATACTTACACTTCTCTCACAGGTAGAGGCTCCTGGCAGATTCCATCGACAGAGCTGCCATACCCCGTCGGACTGGACCGCTATCGCTGGTTCGCGCGTTTCCTGCTAGAGGGCGGGGTGTGTCCCAAGCTGCGAAAGTTTGCGGCGGCCATGTTGACCTTGCCCGCCACGATGGTGAAGAGCTGGGCGAAGTACGTTCTCGTGTTTTTGTTTCCACTTTACGTCGTCGTTGTCGTTTATCGATTTCCTGCCGAAATCTGTGAGTCCCATTGTATATAATAGCTGTGTGTACTCGCAAGATGTGTAAGTCAAAGCGTGAAAGATTAAAGCACGTATATAGAGGGTCTTTACCCTCTACGTGAGAAACATGGTGATCTGGCTGGCGACTATATATAGAAACAGTTCCATCTTATGCGAATGAATTCCGATTTTAATTCCGAAAGTAATGTGTTCTTAACTGTAGGTCAAATGTTATATTGCCAATGGTATTGATGTTGATAATGGTATTGATATTGCTGTTGATATTGATACTGGTATTGATGTTGATATTGGTATTGATATTGCTGTTGATATTGATACTGGTATTGATGTTGATATTGGTATTGATATTGCTGTTGATATTGATACTGGTATTGATGTTGCTATTAATGTTGTTGTTAGCATTGGTATTGGTATTGATATTAGTATTTATATTGGTATTGATATTGATATTGGTGTTGATGTTGGTTTTACAGCCCAATGTGAAGCAATTAATCATGTCATATTTCCTGTTTCCAGACTCCAGCCGAAGACAGAGGTGCTTCTAAAGGCCCTGGTGGCAGAGAGCGTAGACTGCCGCGACAGTCTACACGTAGTCTGGCGCCGCGACACGAAGTTCCTGCTCGCTACGTACTTGGACTGGTTGCCGGAGTCGCTGTCAAACGAAGTGAGGTCCATCTGGCCTCCGTTGTGACCGGCAGTGTAGATTATAGTACGAATAAGTGCTTGGTAGTGAAAGACGAAGTTAACTTATCTGCCCGGCACCCGTTGCCGGAATCAAAATTGGTCCTAATATTAACTTTTTCACATAGACCTGCATGACCTCTATACAATGTGTACAAGAAACTCGTAACTCTAGGATGTTTCTGACAACAGGCCCGTTGATTGAGTGCGTGTCTGTAGTGTTTCGCGTGTGTTGTTACGGAGTAATATCATTTTAATGTATTGATTAGGTACGGCCGGATGTATTAATAGTGGACAAATAGATTTTTTCTGTGCAGTACTGCTGTGAGCATACGTACGGGGTACGTACCAGTTGTAATACGTGTAAATAAACTATATCTTATTATATTATGACTTGTGTTGCAATTATATATAGTGTGTCAAGTAAGTTTTGCAATGCCAAAAGGAACTGACAATGCCAGTCATCATATATGCGTTACATTCATATATAAAGTAAAAATAGTTGTTTTACACGAGTGCCGACAGCAGATTAAACAACGATTACCGACGTACACAATAGTCGTTTCATATTGTCATTCACGTAAATTCATGTCACAGTCCTGTAACAATATCTAAAGCTTTGATGTAACATGTATCACTCAGAACTGTATCACACAATGTACTGTATCAGTCAGAAATTTTATTATTTTAACTGCTCAACACCATGAAAAAGACTTCAGTACATGTATTTGTAGTTGAATTACATGCAAAAAAGATTTAATAATAATAATAAACAATTGCCGGTTCTTTATGCTGACCTTTCATCTGCTGTGTGAGGTAGTAACATTAACAGCGAATAAAAGTGATCACTTATTCCTTACTCCCCTCTCGCGGATGGTATCGCCCGCGACCAGTCAAGCATGGAAAAACTTTTGCAGGTAAATGACCGTATTTCAGCCGAAACTTTTCACTCCGCGAGACACAAAATGTGAATTTACGTCTATAATACACGCGCACGCGTGCGTGCGACCATACCCGCGCGTGCGTGTCCGTTAATGTGTGTGTATGTGTGTTTGTGTGACTGTAAAAACGGGTATTATAGCCGTATAATCATATTTTGTGCTTTAGGGGGTGAAAAAGTTCTGTCTGAAAACCGGCCATTTTCCTTGCTAACTTTTCACCGTGCAACTGATGCCGTGGGCGATACTACCCGCGAGAAGGGGAGGGAAATACTGAGGGGAAGGAAGTGAGAGGGGAGGAGGGAGGAAAGCGGAGAGAAAGGAGAGAGGGACGGAGGGAGGGAAGAATGCAGACGGAGATGTGCACACGTATGCGCAGTATATACGCACGCACGACAAACGCACGTATATACGGCACAAACGGCACACGCACAGGCACGAACGCACATATTCCTTCTAATATAGTTACTTCTCTCGCCTTCCCGCTCTCCCTCTCCCTCTCCGTGACGCTCATCCTCCCTCTCTCTCTCTCTCTCATACACACACTCTCTCTCTGTCTCTCTCGCAATATTACTCACGCACGCACGCACGCACGCACGCACGCACGCACGCACACACTCGCACTCCCTCTCGCGCGCGCTCTCTCTCTCTCTCTCTCATATCATCATACTTTGTGCTTTGGGAGGGGGGGTGAAAAAGTTGAGCCTGTTTGAATAAAATTCACCGAGCTAAGAAGGTCGTAAGCGATACCATTTGGGAGAGGGGGATCACTTATTCCCGAGACAATATAACCTGATAGGATATAGATTAAAGTACCACATAAATAGATAGACAGAAATAGGAAGAATACCAGATATTGAATGAAAAGGTATTAATGGTTTTTTAAGGGCCTTATTCTCCTTGTCCCAAATCTTTACAAATAACAACAAATAATAAATGATATTAAATTTAATCCAAAATTTACAGAACAGTATCTGCTAAAACTAGTTTGTTTTCCCTCTTCTTAGTCATGGGTGGCATGGGCATGGATCTTAACTAAAGGCTGACTATGATATTTTTTTATTTATTACTCACTGTCAGTGTGTATTTTCCTACACACAAATTACAAACAAATTGACACAATTGTGTAGCAAAATATGAACACCAAGTAATGAATAAATATTAAAATGACGAACTTATAGTCCAGACCGCTACACCACCTGCACGTAGAAATTAGGGACAAAACAAACTACTTTGGTAGAACAAAATAAATAAATTTTGGTTTGTACATTAGTAGACAATGACAATTTTGGATTAAATTTAACATTTTTATCGAAGACTTGTAATAGGGTCAGTCAGATAACCAGCAATGAAGATTTGCCTTTTGTTTTTGATCAAAAATGTAAAATTCCAGGACATTAGACATAAAATAAGAACTTGGACTGATTTCCAAGGACTTTCAAGGACAAAGGACGAAATTCAAGTACTTTCAAGGGCTATGGGAACCCTGAATAATATGGTATTGTTTTCTACTCTTATTATAACATCATCAAACGTGTAACAGGATTTAACAATGCAACAAATACCGCTTTATTCGATGCAGATAAAACGAGCAGATCGTATAAAGATTATAAAATCAGATAGCACAGCGGTTCACACACACAACCTTACACTAACATAGCAGGCAATGATGGATAATGGCTGCCTCAGGTAAAGAGGGGGAGGGGAGCAATGACACATCTACACGGCACTGTTTTACTCAGCAAGAGTATGAAAAATTACCTACAAGCGGTAAAAAACGCAAACATAACAAAAACAGAGATCTGAATTATTCACGTTCAGATAAACTGAAGCGACCGTCTAAAAACTGAAAACGCAAATCCGCACTAAGCTGAAAGTGCGCCAACATATTGCCCATCATCATGGAGACACCGTCATATCTTTACAGAAAGATATGTATAAATACGTTCATGAGAGAAGCTGCAAGTATCCATCCATGTCATGATCTCTACGCTGTGCAACTATAATTTGATCACAATTCAATAATGACAATCAATAATGACAAGAACATATGTACAGATGATTAATATATATATATATATATATATATATATATACATATATATGTGTGTTTGTGTGTGTTTATGATAATGAGAGCATGAAATGACGAGAGATGACGGTGTGTCTATCGTTTCACAATAATCTCCCGGCTATTGCTATCGATCTTGTCAACGGTTAACCCAAGTCTTGCACAAGTTCTCACGCGGATTCAAAACTCTCATTCCTCAGTCGTTCTTCTTCTCCTCACTGCCCTTCTCTTCTGCCGGGGGCGGGACTCCTTCTGCTGGGGTTTCCTCCTTTTTCTCCACCTTCACCTTCGTCCTCATCTTGATGGGATTCTTCTTGCAATCCTCGTAGATTTGATTGAGCTCCAGGTCTTTTATTAGATACTCCTGCGTGCGCAAAATTTACGGTAAGGTACGATTCTTCGTGTTCGTTTCGAATTCCCGCCTTTTTTTTGCTCACATACGAGATACCAGGTATCTTGGATATAGCAATATATCAAGATATACATTTCCCAACTACTGACTCATCGTTCATCAGAGCAGACTTGACAACATCTACTCTGGCACATGATGCTTTTACAAAATATTTGTCTTTGATAGCGTAGATGCAGACGGTTTGATAAATTTGACCATTTTAGGAATGTAAATGCAACCAATAATGCTTGTTGCGCTAAATTGTTTCATTAACTCGTTAAATCGTTAATACAGTGTACTCAGCTGCATTCATATCGACGCGAACGCGAAAATATGCCGCATTAAAATTGTCATTAACCCTTCGCTGTGTTCCTGCCAATTACTGTGAATACACGATTCCATTAATAACGGCGCCAATGTTTGTGCACGCTGCGACATTCGTACCTCTGCCATGACAAATCTCGTGACCTTCCCGTTGTAGTCGATGTAAGGTCGTCTTCTCTTCTCCCTTCCACCTTGGAATACGATCACCGTAGGTAGCTGCTTGCTCGTCGGCGAAACATCTATGCGAAATCTACAACAGCAACGAATTTCCTCATTTTAATCAGTGACGACAACCACCACCACGTCGAAAAGTTCACTTTCGTAATAGCATTCGATCGTAAATTACCTTCTGCATTCTATCACAAGCAACCACCGGTTGTTTAATACCAATTGTCAAGCGACGCACACATGCTACTTGAAAAAGACATTGGATCAGTTGCAGAAACTGTCGCGGCAGTGAAAACATTATCGGAAATCGTCACGAAGAAACTAAATTGTCTTATATAATTTAACCAGACAACTAGATTGTCTGATATTGTTCAATGAGACGTCAAGATGGATCGAGACGATACCTTTCTGCGACGATCGAGTATCGACTGGCATCCATTTTTCCAAACTTCAGGTTCGGTAATGAATACCTAAAGCATGTGAAAACAAAGAAAAAGAAAGAATCTGAAATGCATATAACACACCTCAGACGTCACCATATTTCTATTTAACCATGAAACGACTAAATAAAAATTGCTTATTATAGATATATATAGAGGGAGAGAGAGATAGAGAGAGAGAGTGAGAAGAGAGAGAGAGAGAGAGAGAGAGAGAGAGAGAGAGAGAAAGTGACAGAGAGAGAGAGAGAGAGAGAGAGAGAAAGTGAGAGAGAGAGAGAGAGAGAGAGAGAGAGAGAGAGAGAGAGAGAGAGAGAGAGAAAGAGAGAGACGGTCTTGAGAGATGGATATATTGCTTATTATATATTGAGCATCATCCCGTTTTTACTGTTCTATTGTTTCGCGGCGGCGGCGTACTTGATGGACATGGTGGCGAACGTCGACGCGAATGAGATGCAGTCAGGCGACCAGGCAGCGTAGAACGCTACGATCCACGTCACTCGCGAATCCTTCTTGATCTCATCCTACACACAACACAAGAGCAGCTATCAGGGGGGAGGGGGAGTGTTGTCACCTACTGCCATCTGGTGACGGCTAAAGCAAACAATCTCCAAGATCAGTGATTAAGGACGTCACCTACTGCCGTCTGGTGATGGCTCGAAAGGGTTCTCGCAAAGCAAGCAATCTTAAAAGGGTTGATATCATTTTCTACCGGAAAACACAAGATCAGTAACTAAGGACGTCACCTACTGCCATCTGGTGACGGCCCGAGCAGAAGAATATCAGTATACCTCTAAATGTGGGCCTCGGAAATATGTGATGTTTTCTGGACCTTTGAAGGAAGCCTCAGGACATAACACATGATGCACTGCAACAGGAAAGAAATGCCTATATTAGCTGTACCGGTACATGTCAAAACTGCACCAAATGAATCATATATAGTAAATTAATATCTGTGCAAGCGAAAACATTTACATATATATGTAATAGTAAGAAATGTATTTAGAATCACGAGAAATCAAATGGATATATTACCGTAATACATGTTATGCTGATACATATTAGAAAATGTATACGTGGGAGAGGAAGTTTCGAATAAAAGTTTGTTTATATTCAGTTCTGATAGCTATAGGTTTATCACTATGATCAGAAGTAGATAATAGGGAAGGAGTGTGACTTCAATAAACAAGGGAAATTCGTCATTTGCTAGCCTTAGAATACCTACGATTTACTACGCGTAACTCAACCAACTTGAGCTCAAATCGTACACAGTACATTCGCCTAGCATCATGTGAAATCGTTTCCTCGTATACACCCGGCAATCCGGAGAAACAGACTAAAACGTACCACACGATTCTCCATTCTGTTGCCATCAAACCGAATCCATAACCCGCCTAACTTGAAACAATAGGCAGCTACTAACGACTCTTGCACACTCTTGTGCCCTCAGCGATGCGGTGTGGCTCGCTAGGAGATTGGACATTGACGCAACACTCAGCGAGCTAATCTTTGACCTATTTACAGCTGGTATGCCCCCACGCACGCACGCCCACCGCAATCAGCAGCAGCTCCAGCTCCAATCTCCCAGCGAGCCACACCGCATCGCCGAGTGCGCAAGAGTCGTTAGTAGCTGCCTATTGTTTCAAGTTAGGTGGGTTATGGATTCGGTTTGCTGGCAACAGAATGGAGAATCGTGTCGTACGTTTTAGTTTGTATCTCCGGATTGCGGGTGTATACGAAGAAACGATTTCGGACGATGCTAGGCGAGAATGTACTGTGTACGATTTGAGCTCAAGTTGGTTGAGTTACGTGTAGTAAATCGTTAGTATTCTAATGCTAGTAAATGACGAATTTCCCCTGTTTATTGAAGTCACACTCCTTCCCTATAATCTACTTCTGCTATGATAGAATATTTATTGTTATGCAACTAAGGCATATATAAACACAATAATT